ATTCTCCTGCCTCCGCCTCCCAAGTACCTGCGACTATAGGTACCTGCCACAATGCCCAGCTATTTTGTTTTTGGTTGCAGCCATCATTGTTGTTTGGTGGGCCTGGGCTGGATTCAAACCCGCCAACTCAGGTGTATGTGGCTGGAGCCTTAGCTGCTTGAGCCACAGGCAGCCCTTGCTTGACTTCTGATTCTACACTTTCTTGATTGTTCTTTTCCCTCTTTGTGTCTCTGTATTTTCATGTTTCTGCGTTGTTTGATTTTCTGAGTAAAGGAGAATGACACACTTGAGAGTGTGTCCTCTTCAGATCCGTTTGCTCCTCTGTGTTAGGAGACAGATGTCAATGGTATTGGTCTTGGAGGCTGCCTCTCTCAGGTAAAAATCCTTGCATTCTAGGGTGGGACTCTCCCTTCTCTTACTGAGAGAATTTATTCACATCCAAAGCATTGGTTTATATTATGTAGATAAATTTTCTCTCCCTCTCTTAGGAGGGCTAGATGGCAGGCAGTTGGGCAGTTTGTATATAAACTCTCAGATTCACATTTTCAGGGATTCTCCCCTGTGTTGCAAGGAAGCACTATTGCATGAGCAAGGTCCATGTGGCTCCCATCATGTCACCCGTAGGGCATTAGGCATAGGAAATTGATGTAGTTATTGCTGTATTTAATAGTAATATCTAATCTCTGATCCAGGAACCTCATGTTTGTTTTGTCACAAAAAATTTATATATTTTATTTTATTTTATTATTTTTGAGACAGAGTCTGAAGCTGTTGCCCTAGGTAGAGTGCTGTGGCATCACAGCTCACAGCAACCTCAAACTCCTGGGCTTAAGTGATTCTCCTGCCTCAGCCTCCCAAGTAGCTGGGACTACAGACACCCACCACAAAGCCTGGCTATTTTTTGATTGTAGTTGTCATTGTTGTTTGGCAGGCCTGGGCTGGATTTGAACCTGCCAGCTCAGGTGTATGTGGCTGGTACCCTAGCTGCTAAGCTACAGGCGCTGAGCCTGTCACAAAAAATTTAATTGGAAGGCTATTAGACTGAGACAGCTCCAGTACTTTGGGTTCCTACCTAAGTAAACTGATGCCCAATGTAAGCAGTAAATTGAAACTGGAGAATTACCCAGTCAGAAACTGCCAACTAACCTCTAACTAAGGACTTTATACTGGATCATACCCAAATAAGGCAAATGCCTAGATATAGCCAATCAACGAATTGTTCATGTTCAGCCTATAAAAGCCTGCTGGAGGGCTGGGAGGGGTGAGTCACGCCTGTAATCCCAGCACTTGGGAGGCTGAAGCAGGTGGATTGCCTGAGCTCACAGTTTCAAGACCAGCCTGAGCCAGAGTGAAACCTCATCTCTAAAAATAGCCAGGCATTGTGGCAGGTGCTTGTAGTCCCAGCTCCTTGGGAGGCTGAGGCAAGAGAATTGCTTAAGCTCAAGAGTTTGAGGTTGCTGTGAGCTATGACATCATGGCACTCTACTAAGGGTGACAAAGTGAGACTCTGCCTCAAAAAAATAAAGCCTGCTGGACAGGCTGCTAAAACAGAATTCCCTGAGTGCTACACAATTCATAAATTGTTCCTTGGTCATATAAACTCAGCTAAAGTTTTTCTTTCTTTCTTTTTTTTTTAAGAGATGGGGTCTCACTATGTTGCCCAGTCCGGAGTGTTGTGGCTATTCACAGGTGTAATCCCACTACTGATCAGCACAGGAGCTTTGACCTGCTCCATTTCCGACCTGGGCCGGCTCACCCCTGCTTAGGCAACCTAATGGCTCCCCACTCCTGGGAGGATGACATAGACTCTGTCTTGGAACAAAAAAAACTAAACTATATTCCTTGGATAATCTCAAGAATATCTAAGAGTTTGATTACTACAGTAGTTCTCCCATATCTGAGGTTTCAGTTACCCACAGTCAACCAATATTTAATGGAAAATTCCAGAAAAAATTTGTAAGTTTTAAACTGCACACCATTCTTAGTAGTGTGATGAAATCTCTCACTGTTCTGCTTCATCCTCCTAGGACTTGAATTGTCTCTTTGTTCAGAGTATCCATGCTGTATACATTGCCCACCTATTAGTCCTTTAGTAGCTGTCTCAGTTCTCAGATCTAATGTTGTGGTATCATAGTGCTTGTACTGTGTTCAAATTACCCTTACTTTCTTTTTTTTTTGAGACAGAGCCTCAAGCTGTCCCCCTGGGTAGAGTGCCATGGCATCACGCTCACAGCAACCTCCAACTCCTGGGCTCAAGCGAGTCTCCTGCCTCAGCCTCCCAAGTAGCTGGGACTACAGGCGCCCGCCACAACGCCCGGCCATTTTTTGGTTGCAGCCATCATTGTTGTTTGGCAGGTCCGGGCTGGGGATTTGAACCTGCCATCTTAGGTGTATGTGGCTGGCGCCTTAGCCGCTTGAGCCACAGGCGCTGAGCCCTTACTTTCTTTTAATAATGCTCCAAAGAGCAAGAGTGGTGATGCTGGCATATTGTTCTAATTGCTCTATTTTATTATTGTAGTTGTTAATCTCTTACTATATTGAATATATAAATTAAACTTATTGTGTATTTATAGGAAAAAGACATAATATGTATATGTAGGGCTCAGGTATCTACTGTGGGTCATTGAATGTATCCCCTTCTCGTAAAGGGGGACTACTGTATATATACTGAACAAAAATTATGTATGTGTAGATAGATAAAGAGATAGACAGATAATTGCTTGATGACTTCCTAACTTTTCTCTCCAGCCCAGACTTTTCTCCTGGGCCATTTTGGGTTTCAGACACAAATTTCTAGCCATCCACTAGCAGTTCCTTATCCCATAGGCAGCTCAAACTCAACATGTCCGATACTGAGTATGTTTTTGCTTCCTTGCTCCCACCTTCACACAAACCTTTACACCTTTCCAGGAAAAATAATAACATGTACTCAAGCTACATGAGAAAACATGGAAAGAAAACTTGGTTGTCATTTATGACCTGTTGATTCTGCCTTTTTTTTTTTTTTTTTTTTGAGACTGGGTCTTGCTCTGTCACCTGGGTTAGAGTACAGAGTGCAGTGGTCCAATCTAGTTCACCTTGAACTCCTGAGCTCAAGAAATTCTATTTTAGCCTCAAGCAGCTGGGACTAGCAGCTGGGACTACAGGCATGTGCCACCATGCCTGGCTCATTTTCTTAAATTTTAGAGTTAGGGGTCTCTCTTGTTTCTCAGGTTGGACTTGAACTCTGACCTCAAGCAATTCTCCTACCTCAGCCTACCAAAGTGCTAAGATTTCAGGTGTGAGCTACTGCACTCAGCCTGCTTTTTATTTTTTAAAGACAGGATCTTGCTCTGTCACCTGGGCTAGAATGCAGTGGTGCCATCCCAGCTCACTGCAACCTGGAACTCCTGGGCTCAAGCAATACTCCTGCCTCAATCTCCTAAGTAGCCAGGACTATAGGGACACCTTACTACATCTGGCTAATTTTTATTTACTTTGTCTAGACAGAGTTTCATGTATTACCCAGGCTGGTCTTGAGCTCCTGACCTCAAATGATCCTCCCATGTTGCACGGCTCCCCCCGGACCCCTGAGGGCTGAGATTATAGGCATGAGCCACTGCACAAAAGTACAACTTTTACGTTACTACTCCTTTTCCTTTAACTCTTGTTTTTGTAATTACTGGAGGGAAGGATCATTAGTCCCTGTACAAATTTTGATCCTACAACTAGTCTTCCTACTTCTCATTCAATCACCTTTTCCAGCCCCCACGTCTGGTGATGGTAAGGAAAGTGAAAGACAAAGGTTTTCATCCTTTTTTTTTTTTTCCTGATTTAACCTCAGATAGCTTCACCCCTTAGTGCCATCCTGCAATAAAGTCAGCAAGTAGTACAGGCTAAAAAACTTGTTAAAGATCTTTCTTTTACTCTGAGGGTCTCCTCAATAGTATACCTACTTAGGACTCAGGTCATCAGCACACAAGCTATGATCCATCATTGTAGGCCCCCAAATCCTAAGGGGCAAAATGTTAGGTCTTCTGACTCTAAAACCCATTCTCTTTCCACTATTATCACTCTTATATTAATGCCAAATAAACATTTTTAGGGGGGTCAGGTACTTTCCTTTTTATAGTGTTCTGGGTAAGATGGTGGGAAGCAAGAAAGGAAGAGGGGACTGGGCATGGTGGCTCATGCCTATAATCCTAGCGTTCTGGAAGGCAGAGGTGGGTGAATCACCTGAGCTCAGGAGTTTGAGACCAGCCTGAGCAAGAGTGAGACCACATCTCAACTAAAAATATAAAAATCTAGCTGGGTGTTGAGCCCAAGAGCTTGAGGTTTCTGTGAGCTATGATGATGCCAGAGTGAGATTCCGTCTCAAGATAAAAAGGAAGCAAACAAGGACAGACTCTCCGCCTCAAAACCTCCATAGCACCACTGGCTTTGGGAAGTTTTCCCACTCTCAGGAGTATATGAGTTTCTGATTTCCCTGGCTGCATTCCAGAAGAACTAAAGTTTGGAGAAAAGGGACACATTAAAGTGCTTGTTACAAACAAGAACCTCTTTATTCCACATATAAAAGTTGGTCTCTAGAGCTGAGTAAGGAGAGGAAGTTGGTTTCTTTGACCTGGCCCTACCTCTCTCTGGGTCAAAGATGAAGGTCTAAATTTTGGTGACTGGGCCTTTCTTCAGTTAGGAGTGAAAAGTTTTGACCTCTAGTCAGTCCCAAATTAGAAAGTCTGCTGCAGTTCCTTGGTTAGATGAACGTCAGCTTGAGGCAGGCTTTTCCAGGCAAGTTCTAAGATCCCATATTTGGCGATGCCCATGGGAAGGATGGTGCGCACGTTGTTCTTCCCAGGGAGGGGTATCACCTCCTGGAATACCTGAGGGCCTCTAGGGGTGGTAGAGCTGCCACAAAACAGGCAGTAGAACAACCGTTCCCCTGGAGCTAGCTCTGTGGACTTTGGGGCCTCTTTGTAGATAATCTTTTGGGGTTGACGTTCTTCTCTCATTAGCAGGTCCTGTAGCAGCCTTTGGATTCGGGGGGACTTAAGTTGGTACAGGTCCACAACTCTGTTGAACTGTTTCATCCAACCAGCTTTGTCCTTTCCATATCGCTTCTGCAGCATCCGCAAAACATGGTACAGTGCCACAAACGTCTCCCACGGAGGCACCCCTTCCTCTTTTTTAGAGATGGACTGTATCTTCTTGAACTTAGGAAGCACCCCTTCCTCTTCTTTAGAGATGGGCTGTGTCTCCT